CATTGTCTGTTCTTAGTCCAGAAGCTCCGCTGAAACCTGTTCACCTTGGGTGACCCTGCTGGCATTTGAAACAGCAATGACTTAGCTTCCACCATCACAGAACCACACAGACCAGCACAGTATGACAAACTGGTATGGAAGGCTTTGTCTTAGATACTTTGGACATGTTGTCAGGAGAGACCCATCCCTGGAGAAGGACATCATGGTTGGTAAAGCGGAGTGGCAGCCCAAAGATGAAGGCCTTCAATGAGATGGATTTCACCAAAGGGCTCAGGCGTAGGACCAATGGTGAAGATAGCACATGGGCATGCAGGGTCTCAGTCTGCTGTGCATAGGGTTGCTATGGGTTGGAGCCCACTCAATGGCACCTAACAACAACAACAACAACAACAACACAAATCTCACGAAAAGAGCAGCCTTAAGTCCCAGGGCTACAAGTGAGTTTGAGATAAAGCCCAATTCACTTAGTGGGATTCCACACTGTGTCCTTCTGGTGTGACCTATGAAGGACATTGTGTGCTTCAAAAGGTCAGAGTCTAAAGTCCCAGCAGTCTGTAGCACAAGGCCTGCGGTCCCAAGAGCTAGATATGGACTAAGTCAATACTGTCCAATTAGGAAAATAGTACTGGGCATATTCTCCTCTTGGGTTCTGTGTAAATATTGTTAAGCATTGGTTCCCAATGGGAGGTTGCCCCTCCCCATTTTCCTACCAAGAGAAATGCAACTGGCTTCTCTGAGACATACATGCCCTTCTTCCCTGTCTTGACTTGAATTCCCCTACTGTGAGAAAAGGCAAATGACTCCTATCCCAAGGGCATGGGACTGGCAGATGTTGAACTTTGATTTGGATCTCTTGCCTGAGGATGTCCAATGAATGGTGGCCCAGGACCATCATATATTTATTATTTTAATGCCCTCCGTTGCTTTATTATGACGTATACTAATCTGGTTGGTATGGTTCTGCCACTGTCACTGAATATTATTGAAAGTTTTGCCTTATCACCAAGCCCATTGTTGGTGTAAATAGTGCCCAGTCACTTAAGGTTTAATCTATACAAGTCAGCAATTCATGTATCACAGTTCATGGGTGGTCTGTGCTCATATCATTTCCTTTTGTCAACAGTGTTTTAAATTCTATATCATTGAATAAATTAATGACTCTATCACTATAATTACCTTATGCCCTAGGCAGATGATTGATAATGTTCTCTAACACAAAATACTAATAATGTCTCTAAGGTGAACCAGAGACATACATAAACCATGAATATATGAATGGATTTGGAGATCACACTTAATTCTAACTCCAGTGTAATAAAATTACTTCTTATTACATGGTTCTATTTGGTGCTCACCCTTGTGAAGAGATCACTGAAGATTTTGGAGCTCTGGCAAAGTGTGATGAAGAAACTAGATGGTGCCTGGCTATCAGAAAGAATAGCGTCTGGGTCTTAAAGACTTGTCTTCAAACAAGTGACCATCTAAGTGAGACTTCAACTAAGTCTACATGGAAGAAGCATACCAGCCTGTATGACCCAAGGATTGTAAGTAATAAAATCAAAATACAAAGATGGGAATGGTATTAGAGCTTTAAGTGTGAATATGTGGTTTTCAGAAGGCTATGGATGACCAAACTCACTGCTATCCAGTCAATGCCAGCTCATAGCGACCCCCCTGTAACTGGTTATGGGAGTAGAAAGCCCAGTCTTTCTCCCTTTGATCTGCTGGTGGTTTTGAACTGCCAACCATGCTGATCACAACCCAATGCATTACCACTTCCACTGCACTACCGAATGACAATATTTTTTAAAAATTTTTAATGGGCAGAGGACATGCACAGACAGTTCACCAAGGAAGACATCCAGGCAGCCAACAAATATATGACAAAATGCTTGTAAGATGATGAGAGATGCAAATCAAAGCAACGATGAGGCACAACTTCCCACTGGAATAGATAGCAAAAAAAAAAAAACCCTAAAAATTAAAAAATAGAGGTGTGGGCAGATTGGAAGCCTCACAGTACTGGTGAGACTACAAAACTGTACAACTGTGTAAAGTAGTATAGTGCTTCCTCAAACAACTGAGAACAAAAATTCCATGTGACCCAGCAATGCCGCTACTCAGTATATACCCTAAAGAAACAAAGAGTGAGCAAATAACTGCACACCCATGATCCTGGCAGCTCTGGTCACAGTAGCAAGAAGATGGACACAGGCTAAATGGCCATCAGTGGACGCAAGGTGAATAAACCTTGGGGTGTACATGCAGTGGAATACTATGCACAGCGGAAGAATAATGATGACATTGTGAAAGACCTCATGACATGGATGGATGTGGGGGTCATTCTTCTGGCTGACATTTGTTAATCACAAATTGTATGATCCCAATGCTATATTTCAGAATCTTTTCATATTAAAAGAAACAATTTGATTATTATCAAGGGTGGGAGGGGAAGTAATAGGCAAGATGATAGATGGGTGTTGACTTAGGTAAAGGGGAAGATAATATCTTATAAGAGGGAACTAAGCACAATAAGGTGTGGGAGGGTAACAGGGGAAGCTATAAGGAGGCGTAATAAATTGTTAAAATTATTTAATGCAAAAAAAGATGATCTAATATGTAAAACCCTACCTAAGTCACAATTTTAAAAGTTTTTTTTTTTCTTAAGCACATCTCTGGGAACAGTGGATGGTTGCAGACAAGGTCTCTTAGGAACACACTTACCTACTTTACTTGTTCTCCTCTGCCATAGAGGATTGTTATGATTCAGGGTAGACTTGACGGCAGTGGTTTGGTTTGGGATCGATAAATCTGCTTAAAAATTGCATTGTGTAGAACCATCCATCCTCATTGAGTTCTTCTGTCTCACCAATTTTGGTGTGTGTGCGTGTGTATTGGAAATATTACTCTCTGAGAATACAACTAATTGTCATGATGCTCAACCAACCCATAACCTCTGACTTCACAATAAACCCAACGTTAACATTTGAAGTTGGCAAACATAAGCTCCAATGAATAGTTTAATGAACATTTCTGAAGGGTACATATAGTTTAAGGAATTTATTCTCTGACTATTCTCTAATTCTCTAATGATAATTGTTACACTTACTTAACATTTTAAGGCCTGTTCCCATTTGATAATGAACACAGTTTTATTACATAGGCAGAATGAGATGTGGCTATTATTTGCATGTTTTAGATGGGAAGAATGAATTCCAGAGAGACTGAGTGATTTTCCAAGGTCTCAATAAATTTAGTTTAACTAACTTCCAGTGCTCTTCCCACTACTCTCGTAGGCTTCCTGGCAGAAGAATAAATGTAAGGATCTGCCTATTCCATAAACTGAACCAGTCTCTTTGTAAATAGAATTCTGCATATCTGTGAACCACAGTTGAAGTGCTTCTTAGAGGTAAGGATGATAAGACTTCATCTTCCATCGTTTGGACGAGTTCTCGGGATAAACCAAGCCCTGGAGGAGAACATCACGCTCAGCAAAGTAGAGAGGCAGCGAAAAGGAAGAGTCTCCAGGAGCGGGGTTGACACAGTGGCTGCAGCAATGGGCTCAAGCACAGAAACAATGGTGAGGGTGGCACAGGCCTGAGCGGTGCTTCATTGTGTTGGGCACAGGGTCACAATAGGTCAGAACTGACTTGGTGGCACCTAACAACAGCACAGTTGGGGTAGGTCCAATGGAAGTTGAAGAGTCCATACAAATTAAGAAGCTCTGAAAAAACAGTTAGGGCTCTTGCAGACACGGGATGGGGATGGAACTGGGAAAATCACATAACAAACATTGATTGAGTAGTCGATTCACTGCATAATCCTACTTGCTTGGGCTATAGGATATTGATGAGGAGGATCAAAGTACTGAATAGGTCTCTAGACTTCAAGATGCTGATCCTATAATTGTGACTTAGAGTAGTAATCCTAAGTCTTTTCCATTTTTTTCCTTTTTTTTTTAATCAATTTATTGGGACTCATACAATTCATCACAATACATAGATCAACTGTGTAAAGCACATCTATACATTTATTGCCCTCATTATTCCCCAAATTCGCTTTCCTCTTGGGTTCCCGGAATCATCTCATTTTCCTTTTTTCCCCTCCCCCTCCCTTCTTCCTCCCCTCTCCCACATGCACCCTTGATAATTTATAAATTATTATTGTATCTTATATTACACTGTCCGGCATCTCCCTTCAACCACCCCTCTGCTGCCCGTCCCCCAGAGATGAGGTTATATGTAGCTCCCTGTGATCCATTCCCCCTTTCTACACCCCCTTTACCTCCTGGTATCGCCACTGTCACCCCTGGTCCTGAGAGGTTCATCTGTCCTGATTCCCTGTGTTTCCAATTCCCATCTGTACCGCTGTGCATCCTCTGGTCTAACCAGGTCTGCAAGGCAAAATTGGGGTCCATTTTTTTTTCAATATATCCCCATCCATTCCTTCAGGTGAGCCTCAAAAATCTTTCTGGAGTACCTGAGATATGACACATTGTAGTGGATAGGAATCTGGGCTCTGGAACTATACTACCTTTGTTCAAACCTCACTTGTGTTACTGTCTAGCTGACTGGCATCTGGAGATTAATTTTTTGTGTGTGCTTCAATTTCTTCATCTGTACAAAGGGGATAAGAACACCCACCTCCTTGCATTGTTTTGAAGATTAAAACAATAAATACATATGAAGTTCTTAACCAATGACTGGCATATAGAAAGAGCTACTATTGAGTAAGGCACAATAAATATCATGACATACATTCCACAGATATGGAAGTTAAATTCCAGAGACTTTTCTTTCCAAGGCCACAGCAGGGGAATGATGAATTCAAGTCTTCACCACAATTCCTCCCTCTGAGTCCTTTCCTAATATCCCCACTGGCAAATTGATATGAAAGGGTTCTTTCTAAATCTCTCCCTGGTCCTGGATCCCTCATTCAGTCAAAGTGTGTATAATGTAGACAGGAGACCAGGGGCACTGTAGACCATCCTAGTTCAGGACCTACTGAGTGTCTTCACTCATTCCGATTAACTTGAGGAAGGCCCTCTTCACATCCTTGTTCCGGAGGCTGTAGATGACGGGGTTGAGAAAGGCAGAGATGACGTTGTAGAACAGAGCCAGCTTCTTGTCATCCTCTGGCGAAGCCTCAGAGCCAGGTCTCATGTACATGACCATGCAGGGAATACAAAACATGGTGACCACAGTGATGTGGGAGGCACAGGTAGAGAAAGCCTTGACTCGACCCTGCGTGGAGCGAATCCTCATAATAGCCATGAAGATACGAACATATGAGGCCAGGATGAGGGCTAATGGGATCAAGAGCAAGATGAAGCCCAAAATAAAGTCCACTTGGTCGTTGAGAGATGTGTCTGCACAGGCCAACTTCAAGACAGCAGGAATTTCACACAAAAAATGGTTGATCTCATTGGGGCCACAGTAGGGCAGATTCATTGCAAAGACAGTATAGATGAGAGCACAGATGAGACCACAAAGGGCAGAACTGACTACCAGGAGTGTACACAGGGCCTGGCTCATCTTAACCCCATAGTGGAGTGGAGAGCAGATAGCAACATATCTGTCATAGGCCATGGCTGCAAAAATCCAGGTCTCCGTGATGCCCAAGGTCAGGAAAACATACATCTGGACCACACACCCAGTGTAGGAGATAGTTTTATTCTTGCTTACTAGATGAACCAACATCTGGGGCACCGTGGTGGTGGCGTAGCTGAGATCCAATAGAGAGAGAACGCTGAGGAAGAAGTACATGGGGGTATGGAGGCGGGCATCTACTCTGATCAGGGTAACAATGAGTCCATTGCCGAGGACTGTACATACGTAGAGGAAGAAGAAGAGGAAGAACAGGACCCAGTTGGTCCTAGGGTTTCTGGAGAAGCCTAGGAGGATAAACTCTGTTACAAAGCTGTAGTTTCTCCAGTCTCGACTTAGCATGGCTTTCTCTCTGAGGAGAGAGGAGAAGATATTCCTGACTCCTTTGCGGTCTTCAAGGGAGAATGGGAGCTCTGTAACGAAGACATCTGATAGCTTAGCCAATCAGTCAAGATAAGGGGGGATAACAACCCACTCCCAACCCCACCCCTCCAAACTCGGTGTCCTCCAGTCGACGACAACTCATAGTGATTGTACAGGACAGGGTAGAATTGCCCTCTTCAGGTTTCCGAGACTGTAACTATGGGAGTAGAAAACTTTCTTTCTCCCAAGGAGTGGCTGGTAGTTTTGAACCACTGACCTTGTGGTTAGCTCCCCATCTCATAACCATTATGCCACCAGGGCTCCTTTCAATCCACCCCTAAACCAAGAGATCTTTCTAACCAAATTGGCTAGCATAGCTCTAGACAATAGGTAGGTATAAATATTGTTGTTCTATCCAACTAATTTGTTATAATAAAATTCCAAGGGCCCTGCGGGAGGAATTGTACAGCAGAGAAGAAGCCGTGTTTTGAAGCACACAGTACACAACATCCACACACCATAAATAGGCCAAAGTAAGAGAGCTAGGGAAATGTAAAATGCATGACAGTCAACTGAAAAGCCTAGAGTCGCCTGCATCTCCTAAAATTATTCTTTCAACTATCATAAATAAGTCCTGTGACAAGCACGTAAAACAAACAA